AGGCCGGCGTTGGTACGACGAAGACGGCTTTGGCGTGTTTTGCGATTTAGCAAAAACATAAATCGTTCCAAAGCTCTTTCTAACGGGGAAGGGGAGAGGAGCTGGATTAAAATTGTGCCCTACAAATGGTCAGCTACTCACGTCATCTGCTTCGCCGCAAACCAAGTCCTAGATGAAAGGTTTCGCTGGCGACAATGTTGAGTTAATTTGGTAGTTTTTGGCGGGAGAATGGTAAATTTGTCCGATGCGAGATCAGTTAAAACAAGAGAAGATTGATGACGGCAGAAACACTTAAATGAAAGTCGTCTCGCGTAGTGTGACCATGATTGTAATTTGATGTGATTCGTGGAAACTGCAACCATATATAAATTTCCGTAGACATTCAGAGAATACCGGAAATTTTGGCGACATTTCAGAGAAATCCAGCAAACGTTTTATGGAATTTTGTCGTGTAACCAGTCATTTTAATACAAAGAGTGAACTAGTTTCAATATATTGCTTTAAAATACTATTGTCATTTTTCAGAGGTATTGGCAGTACAGTTTTAATGACCTCGTTCTTTGAAATGTAAGATTTCGTTAATTTCTACAAATATTACACGCATGCAGGGATGGCGTAGCGGAGAGCGCTCGCCTCTCACCAATGTGGCACGGGTTCGATTCCCTAGCCTGCGTAGGTGGCGGAATTTCGCGTGCGAGTGCTTTTGTTTTGGCGGCGAAGTCGTAAAGTCGAGCGGCGAAGGCGCGAGGGGATTGGTGAATAGGATTTGTGAGCATGTCCACTGGACCGATGCCATACTTGCAGCAGGCACACTTATTTTATTACTCAGTACTGCATAGTATGGATGGCTTCAACTTGACAAGCGATCGATAAATTCTCGATTATCTTGGCAGTCTGCTGTCCAAACGTTTTTCCTTCTTCAACTAACTCTCCTCCTCATCCTAAATGTAATTATTTCACTGAGTCACCTTTATTCGTGACTAGCCGTCTTAGAAGCCCAGCAGCATCATAACCTCTAAATTTGAATTTTAACGTAGCACCGAAATATGAAACATTCTGATTGGTTAAAACAAAGTTGATTACTCATCAGAAATGTAAACTTGTTATTCATTTAACTTGTAAAACAGCTCAAAAATATCGAGCAATAACAACAAAGTTCCGGCCGCAAATTCGTCATCCCAACACGGCATTGGCGCTTATCAGTGCATTGAACTGAATCAGTAAGAGCAGTTCAATCCATATCTAAAGTTCAGCTTCCTGCAATTTATACAGAAAGGATCTGAGAGTAACTTTAAGTATGTCATTTTCCTAGAAAG